GTGTGTGTGTGTGTGTGTGTGTGAGTATGTGTGTGTGTGCGTGTGTGTGTGTGTGTGTGAGCGTGGGTGGGTGTGGGTGTGTGAGTATGAGTGTGTGTGAGTATGAGTGTGTGTGTGTGTGAGTATGAGTATGTGTGTGTGTGAGCGCGTGTGTGTGAGCGCGTGTGTGTGTGAGCGTGTGTGTGTGCTGCAAACACACGCTCACATCAGCCTTCATGCTGTGAGACTTGTGTTATATACGCTACCCTTCAGGAGTTTGTGCTAAGTGGCATTTTATTTGAGAGAAATGAATGGTTTTATTCATCAAGGATGCATTAAATCGATCAAAAGTGACATTAAAGACATTTACTTTAACTTTGAACTTTCTATTCATCTGTGAATCCTGAAAAATAAAATGTATCCTGTAACAACTGTTTTCGACTTTGATAATAATCAGAAATGTGTCTTGAGCAGCAAATCTGCATATTATTATGATTTCTGAAGATCATGTGACACTGAAGACTGGAGTAATGATGCTGAAAATACAGCTGCGCATCACAGAAATAAATTACAGTTTAACAGATATTCACATAGAAAACAGCTGTTTTACATTGTAATAATATTTCACTGTTTTACTGTTTTATAAATGCAGTAAATGCAGCCTTGATGAGCAGAAGAGATTCTTACCAAACCCAAGCTTTTGAACTTTGTGTTTTATTGTTTTTATTAAGGCTGTTACTACATTGAACATTTGTGTGTCAATACGTTATTTAATGATATAACACAGTAAAATGTAACACCGGATGAGCAAACGCTGCGCTGAAGAGGGAACGGCACACGTCTGATCTCTTCTCTCTGTGTTCTGGCAGCTGGTGTCTGCAGAAGGAGGTTTTGAGGTGGTCTGTAAGGAGAAGCGCTGGTCCAGGATCAGCAGTCGCATGGGTTTTCCAGCCGGGAAAGGTGTGGGGTCACTGCTGCGCTCTCACTTCGAGCGGATCCTGTATCCGTATGAGCTCTTCCAGACCGGAGTGACGCTGACCGTGAGTCTGACTCCTGCAGCTGCTGTGATGACGTGTGTCTCGTGTCGCTCCTGACAGGTGTCTGTGTGTGTGTGTGTGTGTGTGTGTGTGTGTGTGTATAGAGCGTTCACAGGCTTTACCCAGAAGCCCCTGACACCGAGGATGTGGATGAAGGCATTGGAGGTGGAGAAGAAGAGGGCGCAGATGAGGATGAAGAGAAGGAGAGACGAGCGGAGAGACGTTCCCCTCGACGGCTCAAGGACGAGGTTAGTTTCTCTGTCAGGCCTCATACAGACAATCTTCTTTGAATAGAAAGATCAAAAGAACAGCATTTATTTGAATGTGTCCTCTGAGCCTGTGCTGATGTGATGCTTGTGTCTCTCAGAGAGAAAACACGGAGCCCAAAGCCGTGCAGGTGTTCAGATGAAGTGTGATTGTGTATAATGCAGTGGATAAATAAACAACATTCATACTGTCACACACACACACTATTAGATGGTTTTTGTGTGTCTGTGATGTTTGTGTTGCTGCTGCTGGTTTCCTCATTTTGGACCAATTTGCATGAGCAAGAACTTGCTGTTCTCCAGTCCTGCGATCAGTGTGTGTGTGTGTGTGTGTGTGTGTGTGTGTGTGTGTCCAGATGACGAGGGCTTCCTCAGGAAACAGAAGCACATGAGGGCTCAGGCATTTGCTTTTAAAATGCGTCCGCGCAAGGAGGTGCTGGAGGTCAATTATGTGAGTATGACGTTTGTGTGTCATAATGCATTATAAATGTGTTCCTGTGCTTGAGCTTTTACATTGTTCAGTACAAACTGCACTAAAAGGCCTGTTATACTTCTGTATCTGACCTGCGGCGCAGCCTCTCTGCTGTTTACACTTAAAGATCTGCATTAATGTGTCTCCGTCATTCGAATACAGGGACAAACTGTAACCAGGAGACACCTTGAAGTCAACATCTCTGTCCAGAATGTTTGTGTGGAATCAGAAGCTTCCAGCAATCAGACTCATTACACTCATTCCCAATGGATCCGTTTCCTTAACATGAACACCATTTTATTACCATCACAATGGCTGACTTGTTGTCCAAGAGTTGCTGGGGAAATTATCGAGATTTTTTGGAGACAAACTAGTGATGTGATTTTTGGCTCATTTCCACTAACCTGTCTTGTCAGATAACCCATGCAATGTGAGACACTTTGGATAAAAGCGTCTGCCAGATACATACGTAATGAGATTCATCAGCAGAGCCGTTACAGTCATGAATGCAGCTCTTCATTCATCACCTTTCTAAGATTCTGTGTCCAGTAAATTTTACAACGCTTTTCACAACACTCATCATTTCAAATTAGCTTTACAGAAAATCATGATGTTAATGTTCATAATATATTCATGCTTTACAGTCACATCTAGCAGATTACAGCTGGATGATAATAAAATTACATTGTGCAAGGATATAAACAATCATGCAGCCGAGATCCAGTTTTTGACAATACAGATTCAGTCTCCTAACTTCTCAAATTTGTCAGGTCTGGAGCAAATATAGAGCTGAGAGTCATCTGCATAAACAGTGAAAACTAATGCCACGCTTCGTGATGATATCCCCTAAGAGGAGCTTGTACAAGGAGAAGAGTAAAGGACCTAATACTGAGCCCTGTGGCACTCCATGCTTTAGTATTTCAGAGTCAACAGTTCATCATTTCAAAACACATCTTTAGACTCAGCGCTCTTTTCTGTTCTGAAGTTTTTGAGCATGTTCTGTGTGAGCGACCTCTGCAACCCAGGTGGGAAAAAAAGTACACTTCCATAATGTACTTAAAGTGCTCTATTTTCGTGCACTAATTTTGTACTTAATATATAAAAAATCCATCTTTAGTACTTCATAAGAACATCTAATTGTACTCAACTGTGCTTTTTTGAGACACCATGTATATGAACTAAAATGTGCTTTTAACATACTATCTCTGTATTAAAAAATTTATTTCGTTACCACCTGTAGTAAATTTTCATACAAAGATGGGTTCAAGTGGTACCTTTTACATTTTTAGCACATTTTAGTTCATATTCATGGTGTCCCAAAATAGCACAGTTGAGTACACTCAGATGTTCTTAAGGTTATCTTAAGAAGTACTAAAGACGGATTTTTAATATATTAAGTACAAAATTAGTGCGCAAAAATAGAGCACTTTAAGTACATTATGGAAGTGTACTTTTTTCACCAGGGAAAACGTGTGTTCTGTGTGTTTTAGATCTAAAACACTCTTTGATTCTTTAATCGCTAGTAGTGGACTCTGTGTGTGTGACTGACAGATCGACCTGTACATGTGCATGGCGTGTGGGCGGGGCGACGAGGAGGACCGCCTCCTGCTGTGTGACGGCTGTGATGACAGCTATCACACTTTCTGCCTGATCCCGCCACTGCAGGACGTGCCCAAAGGAGACTGGCGCTGCCCCAAGTGTGTGGCAGAGGTACAGCCGCCCTCACAGCTCAGTACACACACACACACACACACACATGCTGTAACGAATGCTCCTCTGTGATGCACTGATCTCCCGTCACACAGGAGTGCAGCAAGCCTCGCGAGGCGTTCGGCTTCGAGCAGGCCGTGCGCGAGTACACGCTCCAGAGCTTCGGCGAGATGGCCGACCACTTCAAGTCTGATTACTTCAACATGCCTGTTCACGTAAGTGCCTGGTAAAGAGCGTCTACACGCTTCTCAAGAGTTAAAGCAGAGTTCTGGGTTCAGAGTGCAGCGCTAACACATGTAAACATGCTGAGTGTGTGTGTGTGTGTCAGATGGTGCCCACGGAGCTGGTGGAGAAGGAGTTCTGGCGTCTGGTCAGCAGCATCGAGGAGGACGTGATCGTGGAGTACGGCGCTGATATCAGCTCCAAAGACATGGGCAGCGGATTCCCAGTGCGAGACGGCAAGAGAAAACTCATCGGCGACGAGGATGTAAGATGCTTCATTTCATACAGCTGCATCTCACACTAGTGCATGAAGAAATTTCATTTATTCATGTTATACACGCACACATATATGTGTGTGTTTCCTCTATTTCTCTTGTGATTCTGTGGTGAGATATGACCATAGACAGGTCTTCCTGATTCTCACGTGTATGCGCAGGAGTATGCGAGCTCGGGCTGGAATCTGAACAACATGCCGGTGCTGGAGCAGTCGGTGCTGACGCACATCAGCGGGGACATCAGCGGCATGAAGGTGCCCTGGCTGTACGTGGGCATGTGCTTCTCGTCCTTCTGCTGGCACATCGAGGACCACTGGAGCTACTCCATCAACTACCTGCACTGGTGAGTCCTGCGCACTCGTGCTGATGTTCAGCGCCTGAGACACTGAGACGAGTGACGTGTGTGTCTGTTGATCAGGGGCGAGCCCAAGACCTGGTACGGCGTTCCAGCACACGCCGCCGAGCAGCTGGAGTCCGTCATGAAGAAAGTGGCTCCGGAGCTCTTCGACTCTCAGCCAGACCTCCTGCATCAGCTGGTCACCCTGATGAACCCCAACCTCCTCATGGAGCACGGCGTCCCGGTGCGGCCTCCTCTGCATCTGCCCTGCATTCTGCTGCTCACCGGCAAACCAGCTTAACACTTGCTTAAGAAATGAACAATGAGATGAGATATTTCACCCCTGGCAGCAGTATTTTAGGACAGTGTTATTGACAGATATTCCTCAGCAGTCACTGACAGGGCTCATTATCATACAGGTGTACCGGACCAATCAGTGCGCGGGAGAGTTTGTCGTCACCTTCCCAAGAGCCTATCACAGCGGCTTCAATCAAGGCTACAACTTTGCTGAGGCAGTCAACTTCTGCACTGCAGACTGGGTGCGTCCTCTAGAGCCACAGTGAATCTTCAGCATGTGGTTTGCTGTGTTTGTATGTAGATGTGTGTGATGACGTATACGTGTGTGTGTGTTGTGCAGCTGCCCATCGGGAGGCAGTGTGTGGCGCATTACCGGCGTCTGCAGCGCTACTGCGTCTTCTCCCATGAGGAGCTGGTGTGTAAGATGGCGGCCGATCCTGAGAGTCTGGACGTGGAGCTGGCGGCGGCTGTGGTCCGAGAGCTCGGAGACATGATCGAGGAGGAGAGCCGACTGAGAGCAGCCGTGCAGGAGCCGGTTATCTTAAGAAGTACTAAAGACGGATTTTTAATATATTAAGTACAAAATTAGTGCGCAAAAATAGAGCACTTTAAGTACATTATGGAAGTGTACTTTTTTCACCAGGGAAAACGTGTGTTCTGTGTGTTTTAGATCTAAAACACTCTTTGATTCTTTAATCGCTAGTAGTGGACTCTGTGTGTGTGACTGACAGATCGACCTGTACATGTGCATGGCGTGTGGGCGGGGCGACGAGGAGGACCGCCTCCTGCTGTGTGACGGCTGTGATGACAGCTATCACACTTTCTGCCTGATCCCGCCACTGCAGGACGTGCCCAAAGGAGACTGGCGCTGCCCCAAGTGTGTGGCAGAGGTACAGCCGCCCTCACAGCTCAGTACACACACACACACATGCTGTAACGAATGCTCCTCTGTGATGCACTGATCTCCCGTCACACAGGAGTGCAGCAAGCCTCGCGAGGCGTTCGGCTTCGAGCAGGCCGTGCGCGAGTACACGCTCCAGAGCTTCGGCGAGATGGCCGACCACTTCAAGTCTGATTACTTCAACATGCCTGTTCACGTAAGTGCCTGGTAAAGAGCGTCTACACGCTTCTCAAGAGTTAAAGCAGAGTTCTGGGTTCAGAGTGCAGCGCTAACACATGTAAACATGCTGAGTGTGTGTGTGTGTGTCAGATGGTGCCCACGGAGCTGGTGGAGAAGGAGTTCTGGCGTCTGGTCAGCAGCATCGAGGAGGACGTGATCGTGGAGTACGGCGCTGATATCAGCTCCAAAGACATGGGCAGCGGATTCCCAGTGCGAGACGGCAAGAGAAAACTCATCGGCGACGAGGATGTAAGATGCTTCATTTCATACAGCTGCATCTCACACTAGTGCATGAAGAAATTTCATTTATTCATGTTATACACGCACACATATATGTGTGTGTTTCCTCTATTTCTCTTGTGATTCTGTGGTGAGATATGACCATAGACAGGTCTTCCTGATTCTCACGTGAGTGTCGATTTCACTGGTGATGTCGTGTGCGCAGGAGTACGCGAGCTCGGGCTGGAACCTGAACAACATGCCGGTGCTGGAGCAGTCGGTGCTGACGCACATCAGCGGGGACATCAGCGGCATGAAGGTGCCCTGGCTGTACGTGGGCATGTGCTTCTCGTCCTTCTGCTGGCACATCGAGGACCACTGGAGCTACTCCATCAACTACCTGCACTGGTGAGTCCTGCGCACTCGTGCTGATGTTCAGCGCCTGAGACACTGAGACGAGTGACGTGTGTGTCTGTTGATCAGGGGCGAGCCCAAGACCTGGTACGGCGTTCCAGCACACGCCGCCGAGCAGCTGGAGTCCGTCATGAAGAAAGTGGCTCCGGAGCTCTTCGACTCTCAGCCAGACCTCCTGCATCAGCTGGTCACCCTGATGAACCCCAACCTCCTCATGGAGCACGGCGTCCCGGTACGGCCTCCTCTGCATCTGCCCTGCATTCTGCTGCTCACCGGCAAACCAGCTTAACACTTGCTTAAGAAATGAACAATGAGATGAGATATTTCACCCCTGGCAGCAGTATTTTAGGACAGTGTTATTGACAGATATTCCTCAGCAGTCACTGACAGGGCTCATTATCATACAGGTGTACCGGACCAATCAGTGCGCGGGAGAGTTTGTCGTCACCTTCCCAAGAGCCTATCACAGCGGCTTCAATCAAGGCTACAACTTTGCTGAGGCAGTCAACTTCTGCACTGCAGACTGGGTGCGTCCTCTAGAGCCACAGTGAATCTTCAGCATGTGGTTTGCTGTGTTTGTATGTAGATGTGTGTGATGACGTATACGTGTGTGTGTGTGTGTGTGTGTGTGTGTGTGTGTGTGTGTGTGTGTGTTGTGCAGCTGCCCATCGGGAGGCAGTGTGTGGCGCATTACCGGCGTCTGCAGCGCTACTGCGTCTTCTCCCATGAGGAGCTGGTGTGTAAGATGGCGGCCGATCCTGAGAGTCTGGACGTGGAGCTGGCGGCGGCTGTGGTCCGAGAGCTCGGAGACATGATCGAGGAGGAGAGCCGACTGAGAGCAGCCGTGCAGGAGACGGTGAGAGAGACCCGGCCTCACATGGCACCAGCATCTCACTGCCGCGAGTATTTCACCAATCTACTTAAATGATTGTGACTCCTCCCATCCTGCAGGGGGTGCTGTGCTCGGAGCAGGAGGTGTTTGAGCTGGTGCCTGATGACGAGCGGCAGTGCTGGAAGTGCAAGACCACCTGCTTCCTGTCTGCGCTCACCTGCAGCTGCAGCCCGCAGCGTCTGGTGTGTCTGCATCACGCAGCTGAGCTCTGCAGCTGCGCAGCCAGCAACAAGTGCCTGCGGTAAGCCTGCTCTTCTTCTCCACACACCTGCGCCGCTCCCTCTCACTCACAGGATTGGTTCACTTCCAGAATTAAAAATCTGTCATCATTTATTCATCCTCCACTTGTTGATATGGAAGTCAATGGTGCTCATCAACTGTTCGGATACCAACATTTTTCAGAATACCTTCTTTTGTGTTCAACAGAAGAAAGAAACTCATGCAGGTTTGGAGCAAGTGGAGGGTGAGTAAATGATGACAGGATTTTTATTCTGGAAGTGAACTACTCTTTACACATCGCTGTATCACTCGATTCTTTCAGTGATGGCCTGATGTGCTGATTAACATGTCAGACTGGTTAAGCTAAACTATAAGGCCTAGTTTTATTATGTATTTATGTTCTACTGTTAGTGTTATCTATATGCACCAAGGGTCTGAGAGTAACGCAATTTCAATTCTCTGTGTGTATGTGCTGTACATGTGGAAGAATTGACAATAAAGCAGACTTGACTTGACTTGACTATTACCGTGTGCTGCAGGTTCAGGTACGATCAGGATGAGTTTCCCGCCATGCTCTACGGGGTGAAGTCACGTGCGCAGTCTTACGACACCTGGGCCAAGAGGGTCACGGAGGCGCTGGCGGCCGATAACAAGAGCAAGAGAGGTCAGACACGACTCTGAGTGGCCACTTTAGTCCACATCTGCAGGTTATAAACGGGTGGCTCTGCTTCCACAGATCTGATCGAGCTGAAGGTGCTGCTGGAGGACGCAGAGGACAGGAAGTACCCCGAGAACAGCCTGCTGCGCAGCCTGAGAGACACGGTGAAGGAGGCCGAGACCTGCTTGTCTGTGGCGCAGCTGCTGCTCAGCCAGAAGCAGAGGCACAGGTCAGTCACTGCTGAACGCTGACTAGTGTGATTGTGTGTGTGTGTGTGTGTGTGCCATCACTCAGCCCTAGTGTGTGTGTGTGTGTGTGAAGAAGAGAGCGTCCCGAGAGCAGCGCACAGAAAGCTGGTAGCAAGCTGACGGTGGAGGAGCTGAAGGTGTTTGTGGAGCAGCTGTACCGCCTGCCCTGCGTCATCAGCCAGGCCCGACACGTTAGGGTGAGTCCACGAGCCTCCGCAGCCGTCTGAGGTCTGATATATGATCTGACGTGTGCCCTCCTGTGTGTGTGTGTGCCGCAGGAGCTGCTGGAGAGTGTGCAGGACTTCCACGAGCGGGCGCAGGCGGCGCTGGCCGACGAGACTCCGGACTCCGGGAAGCTGCAGGCGCTGCTGGAGCTGGGCTCAGGGCTGGAGCTAGAGCTGCCGGAGCTGCCGAGGCTCAAGCAGGAGCTGCAGCAGGCGCGCTGGCTGGATGAGGTGCAGCTGACGCTGATGGAGCCGCAGCGCCTCACGCTGGAGCTGATGAAGCGGCAGATCGACTCGGGCGTGGGCCTGCCGCCCCATCATGCCGTGGAGAAGGCCATGGCCGAGCTGCAGGAGCTGCTGACGCTGTCTGAGCACTGGGAGGAGCGGGCGCGCGCCTGCCTGCAGGCCAGGTGACCTCTCGTTACGGCCAAAACTCAAGCAAACCATTTAGTCTTGGGTTGTTGTGAAATTCTGTGGTTGTGACTGTCGTCCGTCTGTCTCTCTGCAGGCCTCGCCACAGTCTGCTGATGCTGGAAAGCATCGTGATGGAGGCCAAGAATATCCCAGCGTACCTGCCCAATGTTCTGGCCCTCAGAGATGCCCTGCACAAAGCCAAAGAGTGGATGGCCAAAGTGGAGGCCATTCAGGTGACTGTGTGTTTCACAGGCAACTAGAGGTTTAGAGTAAACACAAGACATGCAGACTTAAGGGTCATGTGACTCTTTGAGATGATGTTTGAACAGCGCATGCTAGTTCAGAGATGTTTCTATAAAGATCAAGGGCATGAATGCTGTGGAAGAGATTATCATTGTTACTATCTCATCAATGTTGATTCAGCTTTATCAGTTGTAGCACATCATGTGACCCATGTCTTGATCTCCATGAGCAGAACGGCAGTAACTACGCCTACCTGGAGCAGCTGGAGGGTCTGTTAGCGAGAGGACGCTCCATCCCAGTCAGATTAGAGGCTCTGCCGCAGGTGGAGTCACAGGTGGCTTCTGCTAGAGCCTGGAGAGAGAGAACCGCCCGCACCTTCCTGAAGAAGAACTCCACCTACACCCTGCTGCAGGTGACACACACTCACACTCACACACACACACACACACACACACACACACACACACACTCACACACACACCCTGCTGCAGGTGACACTCACACACACACACTCACCTCTTACAGCAGGTTTTACACAATGACACATTAGTGTAGGGGTTCTCAACTCTGGCCCTTGAACACACCTGAACAAGCTCATCAAGGTGTTCAGGATCACTAGAAAGTTACTGGCAGGTGAGTTTGATCAAGGTTGGAGCTGAACTCTGCAGGAAAGTGGATCTCGAGGGAGAACCCCTGCACTAGTGGAATATGTAGGAGAGAATGATGTGCAATTATTTGGTTTAGTGCCCATAATTTTGACCAGTATTTTTATGGATATAAATGTCTTCATGACATACTTGGTTTCTGGACTGCTAAACATGATGTCCTCTGTATTTTTTGTCTCGTTTTCCAGTACAAATTATTATTATTATTAAACTTTATTTGAAAAGGGAGTAAATGAGACAACTGTTCGTTCTTTGAAACAATACTCCTGATATTCAAATGTCCACCAAAAAGTCCTCTCGGTTTCACATTCGGGTCCCACAAAACCTTCGCGTGATTTACAGTCTGAAAAATTCTACATA